CTCTTCATCACTAAGCGCTTCAAGTCCTCTTGCTTGGCTCTCAGAAAGCCTGTAGCAAATTGTTAATGAATCTTCTTCCAATTTTGCTGACCTTTTAAATGGAATCTAGTTTCTCAGGTTATTTTTCTTAGCATACAAACTGAATTTGCATAATCATAGGCTACAACATTTTCTGATTTTAAGCCAAGTGGAATCCCCTTGCTCTGTTCAAGCAAGTATCTCTCAGTCTATGTCCAAGTTATGCATGAAAACAATGGTTTTGGAATTTCTATACTTCACAGTGGTATCCATGATTTATTATGATCTACACAGTTGGATATCTTTGCATAACCAATAAGACACAAGTAAAATTCTTTCTGGTCTTCCCTAAATTCAGCCAAAATCATTTAGATATCAGACATTATAACCTTAGTTCCATATCCTTTTTTGAATCTGGTTTGAATTTTGGGGAGTCCATTGTTGATGGACTGCTGTAATCACTTTTTAATTTATATATAGCATAGTTTTACTTGCAGATGATATTAATAACATTGTTCAGCAATTTCCTCATCCCATTTTGTCACCTTTGGGATAAGTGTATATACGAACCTCTTCCAGTTGGTCAAGTAGGTATTTTCCAAATTTCTTGGCAAGAATGTACAAATACTTCAAACATTGCATCTGTTTGTTAAAGTATCTCAATTGCTATATTAATTCCCAGAATATTGCTTTTCACCAATGTTTTCAGTGAAGCTTATACTTTTTCTTCAATATTTCTTTAATAGTTGTTGATCATAAACTATTTCCTGTAATAGTTGAAGATCAACCAACTCTTTTTGGTATAAAGCAAATAAATAAGCAAAAAGTAGTCAATGAGATACAGATTTAAAAGTCATGTGCAAAATTCATAAGTAATGAGAAAAACAACAGGTTAAGACAACACAAAATTCTGTGGGTTGTGTTAAAGAGGAAGGCGTTGCCCAGGCTAGTGGGATTGCATAATTCCAGGGTATCCCAATTACATTTTATTGCATGTGAATGGTGCCCCCTAGTGTGGAACAGGCACAATCCCTCTACATGCCCCACCCATTCACTAGACATTCAGTAAATCTCCCTGAGTTTACCATGCTGGAGATGGAGTAGTGTTCAAGGCAGAAGAATTCCTAGCTTCAGAGAAACTAAACACAAATACTTTGGGTTTTGTTTTGTTTCTTAAGTAACACGCTGGCCAAATAAAATGCCTCCGTATGCAAAGTTTGGCTGAAGTTCCACCGATTAATGACCTCTGCTCTTGGCTTTTAAATTAATTGTGTGGCCATGAAGGTTTTAACCACAGGCACAAAATACAGAAATGCACTGGCCATACGTTTGCATATACTATTGAGCTCAGGCTTAATTCAATGAGAGTTTTGTGTACACAGAAAATTCAGCTAATTAATTTTCAATTAAAACTTACTTCCTCCACCCCAATGTCTGTATTTGTCAAACTTTCTTCCAAGAAAACATAATTCCTGGAGGTGGTCTATTAGGTAAGGAATAGAACACTAGAATGAGGTGAGGCCGTGACATACAGCCAAAGCATTATTTGCCTGGATCCCCAGCCTAGAAAGTAACAGGGAAGGTAAACCATTGACCAGAGTCAATGTGTGACACCTTGAATCAATGCCAAATCTCATCCAACCACCTAACCATTTAATAAATTATTTGTCAGGAGAAAAGGAGGATTGGGCATTGGGTTAACAGAAGAAGTAGCAGAATTTTAAAACCTCTCTGATAAAGAATCTATTCCTTTGCCTTTTATTTTTTTTTTTTATGCCATCCAATGGTACATTTTAATTTAGTGGGTTTTTTCCCAAGATGCAACAGGCAAGAAAGCAATAGAAAACTATCCTTTCTTCAAGGTTTTTAAAGAGAGAAGTGGCCTTTTAGAACAAAAGGACAAATGAGGGAGGCCTCCTTGTGTCCTCGTAACCTGGACGGACAATTTTTTTAAAAAAATTTAGTTTATTTTTCATTTCAATGAACATCTACAGAGATTTTGGAATTCCATTCATTCATTGTTGCACCCTTCTCCCCGCACAAACTGGATGGACAATTTTGAGGAAGAGTACCGCATCAAGTAAAAATACAGTTGCTTCTCCACCCTGCAATCTATATTCACTCATTCTTTTAATGTGTTTATAAGACTTTCTGACCTTGTATAAAAAAATGACCTCTTCAGTGAATAGGAATGAAATTCTTAACTGTTTTACTCTTTAACCAAATTCCAGCCAACTTTGCTCTGAATCACACCCAGACTTTCCTATCTTCCTGTCTCTTTTTTTGCTTTTAAGATGGTGTCTCTCTGGGTAGATGCCTAGACCCCTTCCAGATATCTAGAAAGTATGCAAGGGTTACTTGCATAGCACCTTAAAGAGTAAAGGGTTGTTAACAGGACATATCTGGGTGCCTAGGCTACTCAGGTAGGATATCTTCTTAGGCCTTGAGAAGCTTGTAAAATGCTGGCCTTCTTGGTCTGAACTGTCTCAGGTGAAAATACTTTGAGCACATCAAGCAAAGAGGAAAAGGAAATGGGACAATAGGAAACTGATTCAGAGCTAACCTATCAGTAATTCAGTTCAAATTTAAGACAGTTAAGGAGGAAGTCCCTCTATGAGGTGGCTTGATTAAATGACTGGGATAATGGGGGTGGATGGATGTATCAGAGACAGTGCGATTGGCACAGGATAGAGAAGGGTTTAGGGCTGTTGTACATAGGGTCGCTATGAGTCACAAGTGACTCGATGACACATAACAACAATTCCTTGAAAAAGACGATCTTTAATATAAGGTCTGTCTATTCATTGAAAAGACCATCTTTAATGTAAGGTCTGAAAGTCTTATTAACAGAAAGAGAATGACTCGGTTATAACTTGATGGGTGGAAAAGTCAGCCCATAGCTCTCCAGTCAACCAAGGCTTAGCTGAGCCTCTAGCAGGTTTTCAGAAGTTGCAAATCACACAGGAAGAGACTAACCATCTTCCTCCCACAGAGGATTTGAGAGGCAGTGCTTTTGGGTTAACAGTGGAGTTCCTAAGGGAAGGTCCCTGTGGGGTGGGGAAGCAATTGCATTTCAACTTCATAAAGCAATTTCCTCAGAATTGTATGTACCCCTAGGCTAAAAGGTAAAGGATTCCAGCCTGATAAGAAGGCCTCCTTGACTTGTCCTTCTAAAAGGATATTTGTCCCTTTAAAAAAAATAAAAATGTGCATCAATGAACAAATAAAAGAAAAAAAATTATTTAAGAAATGTTAGTTTCCTGTTGCTTTCTTGCCTGTTGTATAGATACTTCTGTGTCCTGATGATTCCACCAACAGCACCCCTGCCCCCACCCCCGCCCCACCCCCTTTGCAGTGAAGGCTTCAGTAAAATTGGAAAGAAAACTTGTATTAAGTTACTGCAGGAAGCTTTACAGAAATGCTAGAATGGCACTCAAGTAGTTGCAAAAACTTTCCTCTCCACAATTCACTCTGGGTTTTCTTAAACAGGATCATGGCTCAAAATATTTCAAGGCCAGAGACCACCAATCTGATAAATAGAGTTTCATTCTAAGGGTATAAAGATTTCAGGTAAACATTTATGTAGTACAAGAGACAGGGCAAAGACTCTATTCTTATTCTTTCTCTTTTCTACCTGGCTTCTAGGTGCCTTTCTTTTCAGAACTTTTTCTAAATTAATAAGGAGAATAATAAGAACAGAGTTACCTTGTCAATCTTCATATTACATGAAATTGCTTTTCTCAAAGTTCTGAAGCATTTCCTGAAAGCTGTCAAAGGGATTAATTTTTTTTTCTTCTCTCTCTCTTTAAATCACAAAGCAAAATTCCACTGTTTCCCCCGGCCCCCCACTTCTGAAAAAAAAAAGTTGTTGAGTTTTGCTTTTCTATTCAACCGCAGTCCTGGCCAAAGTAAAGCCCTCTTTCTCAATGACGTCAAGATCTTTACCAAGATTAGGCTTTCATTTCTCTATTGCAGCAATTAGCCAGGGAATGTATAAAAGGCTTCAGGGAGCCTCACTGGGCTGCAGAGAGAGGCACTTTGCACCACAGACAGATAGCAGGAGGGAAAAGCCAGAGTGAGGAGAAAAAGGAGTCAGCCTCAGCCGCTCCTGGGGCAGGGAGAGGGTGAGAGACAGGCTGGGAGCCGGAGAACAGAAAGTGTGTGTAAAACGGAGCAAAAGCAAGAAAGGAGAAGGGAAAAAAAAAAACAAAAAACCAACCCTAACCACCCAACCCCAAAAATCCAACCCTTGAAACACATTTTATAAACTCTGGCAATTTCAGAACCAGGCTACAGTTTAAAGAACATAGAAGCAATGAAAAGCTACAGAAAATTTTGCAATCTGTCACAGTCTCATAGGTGCTTGGAAATGAAAGCAGAACGGCTTGTCTTTAACGGACTCAGAGAGGGATAACTGGATTAGGGACAGGCACGCCAGTTGTTGTATTTTTTTTTAAACCATCTAAAATCCTGAAAAAAAAAAAAGCAGCAGCAGCAGCAGCTCCGAATTGAATGAATTGATGGGTACACTCCAACTGCTGGGCCGGAGAGACTGAACTTGGTCTTGCCATTTCTGCTTCTTTGAAAGAGGAGACAACTTGGGCTTCCTTTTAATTTACTTTTTTCTCCTTCTTCCCCCCACCCCCACCTCCAGTACACTCCACTATACAACCTTCATTCTGGACTGTTGTCATAACCATAAACCCAATCATATATCACTTTTAAACTGTCCTCTCCATCATCTGTTTCAATGCACCTAGCTGCTAACTAGAAGTTGGTGGTTTCAGCCTATCAGTCGCTCCCTGGAGCAAGATGTGGCCA